TATATTTTAGTTATTTTAGTATGTATAGACAAGGCATGCAATGAACTAGTTTGTCGTGGATTGGATCAGCACCTGAAGATGGCACTTTTGTGCCGAAACATGTAGTGCGAGTGAGAAGAGGGGATAGATGAATGTATGCACTAGAAGACGGATAAAATAAATCATGGACTTAAATCAGTGCAACAGGACGCTAAAATATAACATTAATATATAAGTAGATTAAAAGAAGGTAAAGCTATCCTTGTAACAGGCCGTGGAGTCCCATAGGGTTGTGACACATCGAGGCTCCCACATTTTCCAGACAATCGGCCCAGAGATGAGTGTGAGGTTGTCAGGCTTACGCGCTAGCCTGCCGCCCTTTACCCCCAGGAAGATTCCTTCTACTCATTTCTGTTAGAGGCTGAGTCGACCCCAGGACCATAGTGTGGCTTGAAGAATTGAATGCCCTCGGGAGTCGAACCCTCGACCTTCCGGTTTTTAGCGTAGCGCCTCAACCAACTACGCTACACGTGCCTCTTCCCGCGGTTGTTATAAGTAGCTGTAATAATTTTGTCTCATACTGAGGCAATAACACGAGTATATTATTGTTATGGTAATAGAATTAAAGAACATGAGAGATGCATGTAACATTTTAGTTCGGAAACACGTAAGGGATGAGACTCTGTCGCACAACTAATCGTATTTTTTAAACTAACTACATGGAGTTATGTCTTTTTTTTGAGAAGCCAGCAGTCGCTCATCTACTCAAGAATTTCCCAACAGTTATGGAACCCCAAGGTTCATTACCGTGTTAAGAAGAGGCTGCCATTGGTCCTTATTCTGAACGAGATGAATCCAGTCCATAATACCCCATTCTGTTTCTCCAATATCTACTTTAGCATGATCCTCACACCTACGTCTAGGTCATCCTAGTGGTTTCTTTTTGACTTCCCCACCAAACCATTTATGCATTTCTCTCTTTTCCCATGCGTACCACATGCCTCGTCCATCTCAACCTTCTTTACTCCATCGATGTGATTTTATTTGGCAAGAAGTACAACTTATTAATCTCATTATGCAGTTTTGTCCAACCTCCTTTTACATCTTTTTCTCTTGAGTCCAACACCCTGTTCTCAGACACCCTCAGTCTGTGAAGAAAGTCGTCTTCTGGGTTTAGGCGCCGTGTATTCTTCGTTTTGGCCGGCGTTTCGGAGGAACGTATCGCCTCCATCTTCAGAGCAGCTACTGCTCTATGCATTCCAAGCCATTCAACTGCTCTGAAGATGGAGGCGATACGTTCCTCCGAAACGTCGGCCAAAACGAAGAATACACGGCGCCTAAACCCAGAAGACGACTTTCTTCATGGTCATCGCCGTGAAAACCTCAAAACTTACCCTCAGTCTGTGTTCCTCCCTGTGTCAGACATCCTGTTTCACAATCATACGTACAGAGAGCCACAGGCAAAATTATAGTTTTGTATGTATTCTTTGGGGGAAATTGTAGGCCCAGTAAATAAGCTACAAAGAAATAGATCTGCTGGGCTTTGACTGTGGTAAATTGTCGAGTTCCTTACCAGGGTATTTTTCTGTCGGCTGCTTCAGGAAGACGCGGTGCGGTGGAGTGAATTCGTTATTGGGTCATGTTGTCATGTGTCAGCTCCCGAGAGCATCGGGGCCCTGCATGTGGAGTGAAGATAATAGCGTTTGGGGTCACAGGATCGATTCGTCGTTGAATCATATAATGCCCGTTAAATGTTGTCTAGACCAGAATAGCAGCGGAACAGGCGCTTCCACGCATTCTGACATCGGTGGGCCATTTTAGAAGCCGCCCCAGGAATGGAGCGATGTGTGATGCGGATATTCCGTTCAGTTCGTTCAACTCCGGGGAAAAAAAAAATAACCGCCCTGTCTATGTAACACCCCCCCCCCCTAGACTTTTGAATGCCTGAATCAGACTTTGTTAAACATGGTATATATAGCATGACACCCGAACCCATCTCAATGGCGTACTTCGTAAAGCCCTCCCGTCACTCTGTGTGTCTCCTCCTCTCGTTCCTAGGCAACGGTACTGTAAAAACGTTACCGCGGCAAATAAGATGCATCGTTTTCAATGCGGTCCGTGTCGTATCAAAGGACAGTAGGCGATTAGTTCTAACCAGAATTGCTTGTTCTGTTTTCACTCCTAGCATCAGCATAGCCAACTTTTGCACGCGTTTATATCAAATATCTATGTTTCTTTTTCTTTCTTTCTTTTTAAGATGTGAGCTGCGAAAAGGCGGAAGATTGTATAAGCTGTGGAATATTAAAAAATATTAACCATGATGATAGGGCCGCGCCATAGCTCAAGCGTTTAGTCACTGTCTTCCCACCGCGGCGGCCCGGGTTCGATCCTGGGTCTGGTCAAGTGGAATTTGTAGTGGACAAAGTGGCGCTGGGGCGGGTTCTCTCCGAGTACTTCGGTTTCCCCTGCCAATCTTCATTCCTCCAATTACTCCACAATCACCCTCGCCTATCATCTGGGGCTGGTACAATAGGCCAGAAGTGGCTGCAGTACAAGGGACTTAGTCCCACCCCACTAGCAATAAAAAAACATGATCCTTCTTGATGCTGGAAATTGTATTGGCGCTTTGTCAGAGTATAGGCGTATGTCTGTCTGTCGTACACCAGTGTTGGGAAATTGATCAGAAGTTTCGGCGCAAATTCCGTTTGCAGAAACTCCAGCGATGAAGGCTTCGTTTTGTTTCCCCGGTCCGATTTCAGAACCCTCCCGCTTGTAAGACTGGAACGAAAAGGGGTCATATGAAGAGAAGAGAAGCGTATATCGCACGAAAAAAATTTTCGCTTAGTGGGGTGGTGGAGTCCAGCTGGATCCACTAGACACGGCGGCCCCTGATTGGCCTATTGTACCTGCCCTGGGTGAGTATGATGATGGAGAATTTGGTGGAATGAAGATTGGCAGGGGAAACCAAGTACTCGGAGAAAACCCGCCCCAGCGCCACTTTGTCCCCCACAAATCTCACTTGACCAGACCCGGGATCGAACCCGGGACGCCGCAGTAGGAAGCCAGTGGCTAACCTCTTGTGCTATGGCGTGGTCCATTATAGCACGAAAACATCATCTCCCATTCATAAGGATAGGAGCAATGGACTGGGGTTCATTAACTGACAGTTAATGAAATCGGGCTGTGAGGTGGTTTGGTAACAGGAAAGAGGGCCAACAGTTTCTCCCATAACGTTCTTGTTCGGAATGATTTCAAGACATAGGCGATAGTTTCCTCACAAATTTCAATTTACTTCCGCTAGACTACACAGTGCTATGTCTCATATGACAGAAACCTTTGATTAGAAGTTGACACTGAAGTTCGAAAAGTGAATGGGCATAATTTGCACTCTTGTCACAAGTAAAAATGCCTAGTTAGTTGTCTGAAGTTTTGAAAGAAAGCACGTTGCATCGCCATGCCATATTCTGTTTTGTAGATTTAGCTGCATGATTGCTAACCACATGGAGATGAATTTGTTACCAAACAACTAATCACTTACTGAGGATAATTTTAATCTAGCTGGTTGGCCAAAAAGGAATTGAGCTCAGGTTAAAATGAACTTTAACGTGAGGAAACTCACGCTAATGGAGATATGTCTCTCTAGTGTACACATGTCTGACATTCGTGGTCATTGAAAGCTGTGAGTCAAGATCGTTTGCGTTGTTATGCAGAAGTTAGAACCTTCCCTCTCAGCAGCTGATTGGTTTCTGTGTCTTGACTGTGAAGCAAAGAAGTAAGAGAATCTATGCTTGAGGACTGCTTTGATGTGGCTGAGCCACCAGTCACATGTATCTTTTCTGAAACCTAGACTGCCACAGAAACTTGAATCCAGATTCCCTTAGCCTCTTAGGATTGCATATCTGAGGATTGAACTTAAACTGTACTGGTGTGATAGGGACCACTTATTTCCCAGTTGTTTCTGGTAACTTTTTGCTATATACATGGGAGGGTCAGTAAACGGGCCACAAATGGATATAGAATGTAAAACAAGTGATATTTGAACCTGGAAAAACATTTATTTCTCACCATATCCTCTTCCAACATTGATACACTTGTCCCATTGCGTTACCAGTGTGTTGAAACCTGCGACATAGAAGTCTTTTGACTGTTGTCTCAGCGACCTGCGACCAGGTTGGGCGTCATTTGCTACTTTCGAACATTTGAGAGAATTTCTTGGCCCAGTTATGAGCTGCTTTACACAACAAACACTTCCCATCATAAACAGGAAACATTTCTTTATGAATATGCTATACATTTAGTCCTTCTGCCCACAAAAAACACAAGAGAACATTGCTCTTCAGTAATACACTACTCAAACACTGTCACCATTTTGACTACTGAAAACAGCCTCTGAACATGTGCATGCGAGTCTACTACCTAGACTGTCATGAAGCTGGACTATGGTGCTACTTATTGATACATACAGAAAACCTATTACATCCATTACCGCTGTTTTACTTCCATTTATGACCTATTTACTGACTCTTCCCTGAGTAATTTAATTTAATGTTTTTGTGTTGGGCAGAGGTTGGCAGATATGGCTACAGAAGATGGCACAGGCCGTGCATCCTCAGATCATAGGCTGCAGCTGCTTCAAGAGATGCGAGGCCAGAACTTTGATATGATAAGATTTGCTTCGTATCGTACAGCTTGCAAGCTACGGTTTATGCAGAAGAAGGCCAATCGTAAGTTGAAACATGATATTCATGGTACCCTTGTGCCCCCCTTCCCACCCCTCACTCTTGTGATTCCCAGACTGTGTGCCTGGGATAAACACACAGAAACAGGAGGCAGGCAGACTCATCTCTGTAGGTTTCTTCCTCGGCTTACTGTTTGGCCCAGAAGATGGATACAGTATGTTCCTGTAAAGCATCGGCTGTCTCCAAACTACACAAAGGTACAACCAAGAATACTGTTCTTCATGACTAGTTACATTTATTTAATAGTAACAAGATTACAGTTGTTCATCCAATGCAGGAGTGGGCCCTATTTCAATAACACATCATTAGAGAGATTCAGGAACCTTTGCAGTAAGTATTAGTCACATTAGAAGCTGTAAAAATAAGACATTTTTGGAAGTTTTTAAACATTTGTTGAATGTTTATGTGGTTTCAGGAATGACAGGCTCACAGAATCCTCCTGAAAGCTGCTAATGCTCCCTGTGGCCATTCTTGCAACCCTCGCTTCTGTATTTGAATTTAGAGATTTTGCTACATTGCAAAATATTTGTCAGCCATGTTAATTGATGGTAGGAATGTGCAGTGTTAGTTACACATACTTATAAAATGGTCAGGAGTTGGTATAGTAATGAGCTATGGGCTGGACAGTCCAGGTTTAATTCCCAGGGGTGCAAGATTTTACTCTACTCCACAGCATCCCAACTGACTCTGAAGCCCACCCAGCCTCAGGTACTGACAGCTCTTTACCTGGGGGTAAAATGGCAGGGACGTGAAACTGATCACTTACCTCTGGACGAACCAAAATCATAAAATATACCATTGGGAATCCATAACTGGACTCAAACAGGCAAAGGGACTTATGCTAGGGCCCTCTGCCAGAAGAGTGAAGGATCTGATGAAATTAAACAGAGACTAAATAAGATGGGGGGTAGGACAATTTACAGGGCACTTGTCATCTAAAGGGACACCTATTCAAACTGGGGCTGACATATGACCCCATTTGTGAATGGTGCCTGGAAAAAGTTGTGTCAGCCACACATCCTGTGTGATTTGAGGCTATAGCTTATATAAGATTTTGTCACCTGGGCTAATTTTGTAGGGAACCAAGTGACTACTATGACGCCCACATAAACAAAGTCCTACATTTCATTCAAAGTGTAAGATTGACAAAGGGTTAATCAAATAAGGGGAAGCACAATAGATCCATTGAAGGTTGCAGTGCAAGGGCCAGATTATTATGGCCCACCCCTTATGCATTCATTCAGCATCAAAGATCACTGATCACAAATCACCATAAGACATATAATAATAATGAAAAGGTTTGAAATATTGCGAGAATTACCAAAATGTGACAGAGAGGCGCAAACTGAGCACATGGTATTGAAAAAATGGTGCTGATAGACTTGCTGGATGCAGGGTTGCCACAGACCTTCAAGCTGTAAAAAAATGCAATATCTGCAAAGTGCAATAAAACGAGGTATGCCAGGATTTTGCCCACTCAAGATGTTACTGGTGTCATGTGGTAATTGTACAAGGGAGAGTCAGTAAATACTCATAGGTCACAAATGGAAGTAAAACAGCTGTAATGGACATAATAGATTTTCTATTTGTATCACTAGATAACAGCAGAGTCCAACTTCCTGACAGTCTAGGTAGCAGACACGCATGTGCATGTACAGAGGCTGGTTTCAGTAGTCAAAATGGCAACTGTGCTTGAGGGATGTAGTACTGAAGAGCAGAATTCTGTTGTGTGTGTTATTTTTTTTTTGTTGCAAAATGACTCAATGCAAAGGACATTCATAAAGAAATATTTTGTTTATGGTGGGAAGAGTTTATCACATAAAACGGTTCACAACTGGTAAAGAAAAGTTGCAGATGATGCNGCTATACATTTAGTCCTTCTGCCCACAAAAAACACAAGAGAACATTGCTCTTCAGTAATACACTACTCAAACACTGTCACCATTTTGACTACTGAAAACAGCCTCTGAACATGTGCATGCGAGTCTACTACCTAGACTGTCATGAAGCTGGACTATGGTGCTACTTATTGATACATACAGAAAACCTATTACATCCATTACCGCTGTTTTACTTCCATTTATGACCTATTTACTGACTCTTCCCTGAGTAATTTAATTTAATGTTTTTGTGTTGGGCAGAGGTTGGCAGATATGGCTACAGAAGATGGCACAGGCCGTGCATCCTCAGATCATAGGCTGCAGCTGCTTCAAGAGATGCGAGGCCAGAACTTTGATATGATAAGATTTGCTTCGTATCGTACAGCTTGCAAGCTACGGTTTATGCAGAAGAAGGCCAATCGTAAGTTGAAACATGTTATTCATGGTGCCCTTGTGCCCCCTTTCCCCCCTCTCACTCTTGCGATTCCCAGACTGTGTTCCTGGCATAAACACGCAGAAACAGGAGACAGGCAGACTCATCTCTGTAGGTTTCTTCCTCGGCTTACTGTTTGGCCCAGAAGATGGATACAGTATGTTCCTGTAAAGCATCGGCTGTCTCCAAACTACACAAAGGTACAACCAAGAATACTGTTCTTCATGACTAGTTACATTTATTTAATAGTAACAAGATTACAGTTGTTCATCCAATGCAGGAGTGGGCCCTATTTCAATAACACATCATTAGAGAGATTCAGGAACCTTTGCAGTAAGTATTAGTCACATTAGAAGCTGTAAAAATAAGAAATTTTTGGAAGTTTTTAAACATTTGTTGAATGTTTATGTGGTTTCAGGAATGACAGGCTCACAGAATCCTCCTGAAAGCTGCTAATGCTCCCTGTGGCCATTCTTGCAACCCTCGCTTCTGTATTTGAATTTAGAGATTTTGCTACATTGCAAAATATTTGTCAGCCATGTTAATTGATGGTAGGAATGTGCAGTGTTAGTTACACATACTTATAAAATGGTCAGGAGTTGGTATAGTAATGAGCTATGGGCTGGACAGTCCAGGTTTAATTCCCAGGGGTGCAAGATTTTACTCTACTCCACAGCATCCCAACTGACTCTGAAGCCCACCCAGCCTCAGGTACTGACAGCTCTTTACCTGGGGGTAAAATGGCAGGGACGTGAAACTGATCACTTACCTCTGGACGAACCAAAATCATAAAATATACCATTGGGAATCCATAACTGGACTCAAACAGGCAAAGGGACTTATGCTAGGGCCCTCTGCCAGAAGAGTGAAGGATCTGATGAAATTAAACAGAGACTAAATAAGATGGGGGGTAGGACAATTTACAGGGCACTTGTCATCTAAAGGGACACCTATTCAAACTGGGGCTGACATATGACCCCATTTGTGAATGGTGCCTGGAAAAAGTTGTGTCAGCCACACATCCTGTGTGATTTGAGGCTATAGCTTATATAAGATTTTGTCACCTGGGCTAATTTTGTAGGGAACCAAGTGACTACTATGACGCCCACATAAACAAAGTCCTACATTTCATTCAAAGTGTAAGATTGACAAAGGGTTAATCAAATAAGGGGAAGCACAATAGATCCATTGAAGGTTGCAGTGCAAGGGCCAGATTATTATGGCCCACCCCTTGTGCATTCATTCAGCATCAAAGATCACTGATCACAAATCACCATAAGACATATAATAATAATGAAAAGGTTTGAAATATTGCGAGAATTACCAAAATGTGACAGAGAGGCGCAAACTGAGCACATGGTATTGAAAAAATGGTGCTGATAGACTTGCTGGATGCAGGGTTGCCACAGACCTTCAAGCTGTAAAAAAATGCAATATCTGCAAAGTGCAATAAAACGAGGTATGCCAGGATTTTGCCCACTCAAGATGTTACTGGTGTCATGTGGTAATTGTACAAGGGAGAGTCAGTAAATACTCATAGGTCACAAATGGAAGTAAAACAGCTGTAATGGACATAATAGATTTTCTATTTGTATCACTAGATAACAGCAGAGTCCAACTTCCTGACAGTCTAGGTAGCAGACACGCATGTGCATGTACAGAGGCTGGTTTCAGTAGTCAAAATGGCAACTGTGCTTGAGGGATGTAGTACTGAAGAGCAGAATTCTGTTGTGTGTGTTATTTTTTTTTTGTTGCAAAATGACTCAATGCAAAGGACATTCATAAAGAAATATTTTGTTTATGGTGGGAAGAGTTTATCACATAAAACGGTTCACAACTGGTAAAGAAAAGTTGCAGATGATGCTTGACCAGGTGCAGAAGTGGCCGGGACAACAGACAAAAGGTTCGAATATCACATGTTTTATGTCCATTTGTGACCTATTTTTGGCCTAAGTAAAACCGTGTGGAAGACACGTTGCAAACTCCATTGGTACTTAAAATAAAAGAATTGCTTGTTAACCACATGTTTTCGTTCACTGCTTCCCTGGTGGACACCCATCTGTGTATATATTACATAAATTATAAATTATGAACCAGATTTAAAAATTAAGTTGACAGGTTCAGAGAAGATATTCGATACAATTTGTTTCATTTTGTGTTTTCCAGTCCACGCTGTGGATATCTGGAATGTGATTGAAGCTTTCCGAGAAAATGGACTGAATACACTGGAACCTCAAACAGAGGTGAACGTATCACGACTGGAGACACTGGTATCCAGTCTGTACCATAACCTTAATAAGAGGCTTCCAGTAGCACAGCAGGTTCATGTGGAGTCCTGCTCTAGCCTCCTGCTGAACTGGTTACTGGCTGCTTATTCTGTGTGAGTAATTCAGTTCATCGTATGTCCAGACCTGTTGTGAACCAGCTTACTGTAAGGTGTTCTCTTTACCTTATCACTGCTGGCTTAAGAAGGGTTATAATGCAGGCTGTATATGCAGAAATATCCCTTGTACCATTGTACTGTGAAGTTGTGTCAGGATATGTATCTACACACTAGTAAAGTGATGGGACAAATGTATGAATGTTGTGGAGGATATGTCAAGGAATAATTTTTTTTTTCTATGTTTGAATATCACATGTTACAGTTTATATCCATTGTGACCCATTCACTGACACTCCTACATATTACAGGAATGCACCACCGTTCATATGGTTTGATTAAGAGTGCATTTTTATCTGTTTCTATAGGGAAAATGTGGGTAAAATCCGAGTGTTTTCCATCAAAGTTGCATTAGCTACGATGTGTGCAGGAAAGCTCATGGATAAATTAAGATGTAAGTACAGTTTGATTCTAAACATTCTCTTCCATCATTTCCAGCAGAGAAACATGCCGGCTCTTTAGCTTTCATGCATTAGAAGTGCATTTATGCAGCTTCCATTTTTGCAGTCAGTTACTTTGTCTACCTTTTCTCTCATTCTATCTGTTGTTCTCTCACTGTCTCTTCCCCTTTCTTTTGTTTCCGTTCTTGTAGCTATTCCTGTAAACAGCAAAAGAGCTCCAATGTGTTGATTTTCTGTTGCTGTTTGTTGCTTCCTGAAGGTGTAAGAAGGAGGCAGATGTCTGGAGAGCATGACTTATGATGAAATATGTAACTAAAATGACTCGTATCAGATAGAATTTTTTGTGTGTTAGATACAGTTCTCGGAATTAAGGTGTCTTGAAGAACCCCCGCGTAGTTGCTCATATTAGTATATGGTAAAGTTTCCTTATTGAGGTCATGTCAACAGGAGGTGCAGATATCCCTTTATGCATTCTCAAGATGAGTGATCAGCCTTCCTTACACCCCAGGGCTATTGTGAGTGTGACTGTTAAGAAAAATATCCCAACACAATGCTCAGAATTAAACTCTGGCAGTCCAGTTCAAAGGTTCCATAATTCATTACATAAGCTATTGCAGCTTATTTTAGAATTTTATGTATTTGCCAAAGAATGGCAAATCTCAAATCTCAATCTCTCAGATCTACATGGCATGTAGATCTGAGAGAGCCCAACATTTCAGAGGAACTTGTTCCCTCCATCGTGAGGGTGGAAGAGTAAGCCAAGTAAGAAACCAGCTGAAGCCGGCAGCAAGCTTAGCTGTCCCTGAGTTATGTGACAGCACAACCCAAAAGACTGTACCCCTCGATCTTATAGTCACTGTCATGAGAACCTAAAATCCACCGTACAGTAAGGTGGTTTAAATAATACAATTTTTTTTTGGTGTGGGAGATATTGTAAATATTCATCAAATCCAAGTATTCGTATAATTGTAATGCCTTGCATCTGGCTGTCTCATTTACACCTAATTAAAAACTGTGGAATCTTGGTGGTACTTGAAGTTCTCACAGTTGTGACCATGAAGGGTACTCTCTTATTGGATGCTACACTGTGTAGTATGGTTGAAGTCTGGCCGTGCCATAGCTCAAGTGGTGTCGCTGGCTTCCCACCGCGGCGGCCCGGGTTCGATCCCGGGTCTGGTCAAGTGGGATTTGTGATGGACAAAGTGGCACTGGGGCGGGTTTTCTCAGAGTACTTCAGTTTCCCCTGCCAATCTTCATTCCACCAAATTCTCCATCATCATAATCACCTGGGGCAGGCTACAATAGGCCAATCAGTGGCTGCTGTGGCCAGTGGACCCAGTAGGAGTCCACCCCACCACTAAGTGAAAAATGGTTAAGGTTTTTATGAATATACTGCTTGCATCTTCAGGGTTGAAGCATAAGGAAGCCTAGAGCTTGTTCATTTGCTTGGCTTGCTCTTTAATCCTGCAGATGGAGACAGCAGGTTCCTCCAGAATATCAGTATACTTCTACAGGGCTGTGTAGTGTAACGGCAAGTACTCTTTGCTGTATCTGCATTTATTTTAATTAATTTGGACTGCCTGTTAAGCTTGGGCCGATTATCTGGGGGCTTTGTTTAGACACCTGACTGGTGTGTCCAGTGTTAGAAGATACGTGTATACTCCATATGAAATTTCTTTTTAAAGAGGAACAATTGTAAAATGAAGGGAATGTTATTTCACATGTGAAAATGTACTTGGAAAATTTGGAAGTTTGAAGAATGCTGTCTTTTGGGATGTGGCACCATTTAGATCTTATGTGAACCAACGTTTCAGAAGACGTATCGCCTCCATCTTCAGGGTAGAAGAATCAGCGTGAGCAGGTGCCTGCAGATTTTGTACCTTGGAGATGGAGGCGATACATTCCTCTAAAACGTTGGTTCACACAAGATCTACACAGCGCCACATCTTCATAGTCAGCATCATGAAAAATTCAAATCTTACTTGGAAAGGTTTTCTTTATTTATTTATTTATTTTTAATATGTAGAAATGTTATGAGAGCTTCTCAAAAACCACACTCATGTCTCTGCCAATAGTGTGTATCATTTTATGAACCCCAGTTCGCAATTCATTACATGTACATCTTTGATAATTATCCAGAGTTTCTGATTATTGTGTGGAATTCATTTCTTGTCCACCCTAGGTAACCAGAATACACTGTGTGTTCAAGAGTAGCATGTTTGTCACTTTGTGAACAGTCTAGGGCAAACAAATATGTCCTCTAATTACCCTTGTTCAGTTTCTGATACAAGACATACCATCAGAAGTCTAGGATTCATAATTTCAAATTAATTTTGACTTAGAAAAGTGCGAAGGGCCATGAAAGCCCAGGAAATAATATGCTCCTGTTTGTTGTTGCTGATTGTTTTTGATGTTGAATGCCCACAGACATCTTCTCTCAGATCTCTGATGGAAATGGTCACATGGTTGTGTGGAGGTTTGCTGAATATCTGCAAGAGGTATTAGCACTGCCAGCAGCAGTATATGAATCACCATCATTCAATTACACAGAGGGACTTGCCACATCTATATTTCCAGGGGTATGTCGCTAGCTTACTTTCAAGCCTCTTGTTGCAGGATGTACATCGGTTTTTCATAAGAAGGTAATAATTTATATTGCTCACAAGAAGAATCATAAAGTCTTGAATCAAGTATTTACATAGTTATGATGGAAATAAAATTGACCCCTAAGCGTGGCCAATGCAATGTCATGTAAGATCTCCAGAACCCACTTCAGTAGCTTGGTAGGTTCACCCATTAAAGAGCGTGGTTTGGATTTTACGATTGCAATGACAGTAAAAAGTGGTTACATTGATACTGAATTTCATTGTGTTAGAGGGAAACCCAAAGATGTTTCTTAAGAGTGTCAGTGGAAATGAATTTCTGTATTCAGATTACATGAAGTTATTTGTTATAGTTTCTTATGATGCTTTCAGCATCTAGGCTGTATAGTTGCTGGACTGGTGCACAAATTATGAATCGTGGCCTGATAAAAGTACTGTCCTGGAACTTGTCGGCCTTGAAAAACTGAGGAAAGCCTCAGAAATACCTCAGTCAGTTTAGCAATTGTCCCAGCTGTGATTCAAACGAAAAAAAAAGTAAAGTGAAGGTATCCCTGTAACAGGCCGTGGAGGCCCATAGGTTTGTGAGATGTTGAGGTTCCCACATTTTCTAGACAATTTGCTCATAGATGGTGGCAAGGTTGTCAGCCCTATGCACTGGCCACCCTTTACCCCCAAGAACATTCCAAGAATATTCCTGATACTCGTTTCTGTTAGAGGTTGAGTCGACCCCAGGGCCATAGCGCGGCTCGAAGAATTAGGTCAATTGAAAGAAATCCAGTTGGGACGCTTTCAGCATAGTGCCTCAACCAGCTACACTACTGTTTTCCCCCCCTTGATTCAAACAAAGTGCCTCTGAAATACAAGGCCAGAGCATTATCATGTGGCCACCATGCTCAGTAAAGTTTCTGTCAGTTAAGGAATACCATAATCTTATGATAAGTGAAACGCATTCACAGAATTTATCTTCCAGATATGTTATATACATTATATTATGAACTTTCTCAGTGAATCTTTTGCTTTTGCTTACTGTGTGTGTGTCTTTATTAAAGCTTTAATAATGTGTCGTGGCTCTTCGTACATATTCAGTCAATCTGTATATTGTTTTCCATGTAACGTGTGGTTAAAAAAAGTAGGGTAAAGCTGTCCCTGTAAACAGGCCATGGAGACGTGTAAGGTTGTGAAACGTCAAGACAGTTCGCTCACAGATGGCAGTGAGGTTGTCAGTCTTACATGCCAGCTGGCTGTTTACCTGCAGAAAGATTCCTGGTACTCGTTTCTGTTAGAGGCTGTGTTGACTCCAGAGCCATAGTGTGGCTGGAAGGATTATGTAAATTGAAAAATCAAATGACCTCATCAGGAATCGAACTGATGACCTTCCTGTTTGTAGCATGTGGTTTCTTTTTATAGGGTGGGAAGGTGACAGTCAATGACTTCATGGACACTATGATGTCAGATCCTGGGCCGCCCTGCCTGGTATGGCTTCCACTGTTACATCGCCTTGCCAGTGTAGAAACTGGTAAGTTTTGTGTTTTATCATCTGTTGTTTCAGAACATGTTCTCACAGTCTTAGGATACCATACAGATAGCTAATGTTGGAAGAGAGTGCAAAGAAAAATGTATGGTCACAATTAGAAAATTTTGGGTGCACTTCATCATTTATCCAGTTCATGTATTGTTTTTAGGATAGTTAAATGTAGACATTGCAGTAATGGACTTCACGTGTTTAGTGGAACCTGCATAAGTGAATCCCAGATGTCTGAGATATTCAGATTATTTTGTTCCTAAAACTTCCACATAAGAGTGATGTATTTTTGACATGCTTAATGTGTTTTCTGTGTAAGAGATATTTTCTACATAGTAAATGCAATTTTAATGTTATGAAACTGTCACATTGCACACAAATATGTTTTTCATTATTTATTTTTATCAAAGCTCACTTTTTCATACAAGCTTCCCCCATTGAATGAATGAATGAATGAATGAATGTGTGAGTGAGCGGTTCTGGCCCTTGCACTGCAACCTTCAATGATCTATTGTGCTCCCCCCCCCCTTTTTTGCCCTTTGTCAATCCTACACTTCCAATGAAATGTAGAACTTTGTTTAAGGGTGGGGTGTCATAATAATCATTTAGTTCTTTAAAAAACTGGCCCAGGTGACGAAATCTTAAATAAGCCATAGCCTCACAATCACATAGGATGTGTGAGCTTCTCCCATTTATGAGCACTGGTTAAGGAGGGCTTAGCTTCTGTTTGCTGACACTTATGCACACGTCGTGGTCATATACGATAATTTGATGGGCAAGAAATCTGTGTGTGCTTTATAAGTTTCAAGGTCTTTGGCCCAAAGTATGATTTTTTGGAAGTAAAGGTGCTGTTAGGCCCCGCCATAGCTCAAGCGGTTAGTCGCTGACTTCCTGCCACGGCGGCCTATGTTCGATCCCGGGTCTGGTGGGATTTGGCATGGACAAAGTGGCACTGGAGCGGGTTTTCTCTGAGTACTTTGGTTTCCCCTGCCAATCTTCATTCCACCAAATTCTCCATCATCATGATCACCCATGGACCATTCTGTATTAAGCATTTCTTGTACTTCTAGGACCCTGTGTAGCATTGTGCATGACTTCAGCTACAGCCTCTAAGCCTCCAAACAAAAATGAATGAGGGATTGATCTATACAAACAAGGAATGTTAACCAAGTTGTATTATGTCTGTAATGTTTACTAAGAAAAGGATTCCTCTCAGTTTCATCTTGTCACCTGTGTTCAGTGATTATGTCTAAATATTTTGGACAGCATTACATGAATCCAAGCTTGTGACAGTAACGCTTTCTGATTCAGTTGTTCACCCTATGGCCTGTGATGCATGTCAGAGGGAAGGATTCTCAGGTTTTCGCTACAAATGCCAGAAGTGTCACAGTTACCAACTGTGTCAAGACTGCTTCTGGCGTGGTCGCATCTCTGGTTCACATACAAATGAACATGAAGTCAAGGAGTACACAACTTATGTGAGTCTTTTGTGTGATCATAGGTTTACCTGTGATGTTGCATATAAACTTTGTGTTTATAGTTCTGAAATAAATTGCAAGCAGAATACAGGCATTTTAAGTACTACATCTACCCGCATTTGAGTCTGACCCTTATTTATGTAGTTGTGGTGGTGGTGATGGTTGTGGTCCTTGTGAGTCTTGTGGTTGTGATGATAGGGTTTATGGTTGTGGTGGTTAAAACTTATAATTGTACTGATTGACACTCAGATCGCATACCTGAATTGAATTTTTCAAAGGCTGTGGTCTAGTGGCCAGAGGTCCCAGGTTCTATTCTCAGCGCTACCAGATTTTCTGAAAAGTAGTGGGTCTGGAACAGGGTCCACTCAGTCTCGTGAGGATAATTGAGGAGCTATTTCAAGGAAATAGCAGCTCCAGTTTATAAAACCGAAATTAACGGCCATGGTGATTTGTGGCACTGACCACGTGACACCCTCTATCCACTAAAGTTGACACTAACTTAGCTGACAAGTGGTGGTTGCTTGATCAGTATAGTTCGCTTGCAAACTACCACAGAGTTTGTTTTGTTTTGATGTAGCATAGAAACTGTTCAAGGAAGACAAGATTATATGAAAGGATGTTTTTCTCTTTTTGTATCATGGGAGGTAAGAGTGTTATTCTCATGTCTTGGAGTGCCGTGGCATACTTGTGAAACTTTATAAACAGTTGCAGAAAATTATGCTGCATTTGTAAAGCTTAGTGCTGTGTGATTTGTACGTATTCGCTAACTGAATGACATCTGTTGAAGAAACAATATGTATTTCCTGAGCTGCATGTTGCACTGCTTTCTAGAATAGCTGCCCTCAGTGCCGGTGAATATGTCAAGGACAAGCAAGAAATAACTTTCTTTGCTTTCAGAAATCTCCAAGTAAGCAGATTGGTCACTCTTTGCGCAAGTCATTCCGCTGTGTGCCTGAGAAGGGTAAGCCAAACATCCCACGCTTTCCAGAAGAGCCAGAGAAAACACTCAACCTCTCCCATATAGTGTGAGTTTGTGCATCATAGTACATTATTCATAGAAGAATAATACACATCAAAGTAACAGCGTTAAAATTTGTAATAGATTTTGCCTGCCTACCTGCCTGCCAGTCACTGTATTAACCCTTTCACTGTTCCTGAAGAAAAATATGTTACTGCTTTGTGTTTCCTAGTATTCTCCCAGTTGTTCAAATTTTTGCATCGGTACAGTATTTTACCCTTACACTTAAAGAAAGAGGTCTGTCTTCCTCCTGCTGCCCTGACTTACATTTTATACACCATTTGAGTTTTGCATTGTGCTGTGGTCTGTCCATTATAGTTGTTAATGTGTTGTGACATGTACATGGGGTGGATGATTTGCTAACGTCCTGCATAGTTCAGTTGTTTTCAGTTTGTTTCATTATTTTAGTTTATAATGCGGTGTTTTTATTTGTTTGCTTTTTGACCAAATAAGGATGAGAAAAATATACTTGGCAGCCCTCATAATTGATGGTTTTAAGGAAGTAAAAAAGTAAAGGTATTCCTGTAACAGGCCGTGGAGGCCCATAGGGTTGTTAGAAAATGTTGAAGTTCCCACATTTTCTAGACATTCAGCTCATAGATGGCGGTAAGGTTGTCAGCCTTATGCACTGGCTTCCCTTTACACCCAAGAATATTCCTGGTAAAGGCTGAGTAGACCCCAGGGCCACAGTGCGGCTGGAAGGATTAGGTAAATTGAAAAAATCCACCTCATCGGGATTTGATCCTGTGACCTTCCAGGTTGTAGCATAGTGCCTCAACCAACTACACTACTGCATGCCCCTAATTGATGGTTTTACTGAAATTAATATACAGGGTGAGCCAAAAGGTCCTTGTGCACCTGCTGTACACAATTATATTCAGAGAGTTCCTGTAGATTAATACAAACACATTTCTGATACTTATGTTACGAGAAAGTGTGGAAATGGCCCCAAACGTGCTTGTAGACATGCATGTTTGCAAAGACTGTGACAGTTCAGTCAGAGGGATGTTCTTGATGAAATTTATGGTGGCTTCCTTCAGTTCAAAGAGAGTATGAGGTTTGTCTCTGTAAACTGCACATTTCATTGCTCCCCAAAGGTAACAATAAAGGGATGTAATGTTAGGCAACTATGGTGGCCAGATGTCCTTTCAGATTGTTCTGTCTCCAAAGGCACTGTGCAGTAGCATCATGGAAGCAGGAGCTGCGTATGCAGTAGCACTCTCCTGTTGTAAGTGACCCCAGGCAGTTTCCTCTTCATTTAAATGTCCAGTGAATGGGTAAAGAATCACTTCACAGTAACATTCTGGGTTGATAGTGTCATAGATGAATATGAGTAATCAGTAATTATGCCTCTAAAACTTCAGCAGTATTCAACATACTTGATGTCCCTGTCCTTAAATTCATGTGCTGGTGTTATCTAGTAGGGACAAGTGGAGGAAATGGCCTCCAGTTGTGGAGGGTAGATGAAAATATATCGATTAAGCAGTTCCAGACAACTGACAATGGGAAATCCTGACTTGGAGATTAGGTGGGGAGCCAGCAGCTGTTCATTGTAGAGAAGAAATGACCTTGTTAGTGTATGTTACACAGGACCTAAGTCTTGGGCAGTTTTTGGCTCAGGATGGGAACCAGTGACAGGCTCCTGTAAATGCAGCAATGTGTATTCATATCCCATAAATTACAGGGAATTTCTTGACAGAGGGTCTGTCCCGTGTAACTACATAGGTATAGTAATTAGTGTCAGGTTTCTGAAGGTGATCATTCGCCAATATTGTAATTACTTAACATGTGTTATTTCTAATTGATTACAGTGTGTCATCCAGTTGGGTGTGAATGAAGAAGAGTGTGTATGCACTAATATCATTCATAGAGATATTGGGTTTTCGGACTTTATCCATCGTCCTGGTTTTTAAGATAACTAAGAAAAAACACAACGTTTCAGAAACTGGATCTGTTTCCATCCTCGGGTGAGGGAAAACACCTATTCTGTTGGGTCCCTTAGAAAGATCTGGTCCAGAGATTGAGGCTAGCTCTTTCTAAGGGACCCAACAGAATAGGTGTTTTCCCTCACCCGAGGATGGAAACAGATCCAGTTTCTGAAACGTTGTGTTTTTTCTTAGTTATCTTAAAAACCAGGACGATGGATAAAGTCCGAAAACCCAATATCTCTATGTGTTATACACCATTGTCAGAATCCTATAGTAACTACTAATATAATTCTTTAAAGCCTTTTCTGTTGTTGTTCTATGGATCATGAGAACTGTTGTTCTCTTTCCTGTTATGTACAGATGCAAGAGAAACAGGCTGTTTAGTAGGCAGTGGTGAAATTGATAGAGAACTGAAAACCAGAGCAAGTATCTTCATGCTTGCATAACCATATTTAGTGTAGATGTGAGAAACAGGCATACATACAGAGATTTTTATACTCAAACCAAGATTAGCACAAAGAATTTAAGATTCATCATAGGCTGCTTTGGCTTGAACTGGCTCTGGGTACAATGCAGTCATGCAGGAGGTTCTGTTAAGCAGTAATAAATCTTTGATATACTATGGAAGTTGTTAACAGTTACATTGCTCAAGATGCTCTAGATTTGCATTTTGGAAGTCCTCAGTTCATGTCTCATCCAGGACACTGCTGTCCTGACTGAGAAGCAAATTCTGTGATAATAACTTAATTAGACCACATCCATTTCCTACCAGATCCTTTCCAGTTCATCTTTTACCAGTCATCTTACCATTTGACATTTACAGTCTTAGGTGCTGACAGCAACATGAAAGAAACCACATATATAATTAAACAATTGTGTATCAAACTCCAGTACCATTCATAAAGTCCAAAATCATTATATATAAGATTCATGATGTAAAATGTGGTTTCAGAAATGGCCATCTTCTTGGATCTTTGTTTATGAACTATTTTGTCGCATTCCAGTCCTCCATCTCCATTGCCGTCCCATAATGGTTTTCCTGAGAGTTCCTTTGCTTCGCCATTTGATGGAGGCTCAATGGATAGCCGTTCCACAGGCAGAAGGTAAGATATCATATATTGAGTCTTACGGCATATTCCAGTTTTGCACCACTTTCTTAGTTATTTCATAGTGACTCATATCTGGTTATATTTAGAAACAAGTCTTAAATTAAGATCTAAATGTTTGTGACAATGGCACATTAATACAAATATTATGTCTCTGGATATTATCCATCATCCTGTTTTAATTTAAAACACGTTTTGGACACTTGATTCTCTCTCTTCAGGTAGTACATACTCAGCTGGACCCAAGTGATTGGGCTAGTCCCGATCTCCAGACACCTGCACCAACACAAGATAAATTCACTGTGTAGTACTAAGATGTTTGTATTAAGCTTTAGATTGACATCATTGTTAATTCTTTCTAAATCCAGCCTATATTCACTTATCATCATCATCATCAGTAATCTGTCAAGACGACAGGTCCACAGTCTCTTTCAAAACAATTCCTCCACTTAATGCGATCTAGAGCTTTCTCCTTCAAATGACAGTATCCTCTTCTGTCCCCAAGGTCATCCAGCATCTTCTTACGTCTTCTTCCTCGTCTTCTTGTCACTTCTATCCGCCCATCTATCTTTCCTTCGATAGCTTCTTTTAGAAGGCAGTTTCTGCGTAAAACATGACCAATCCAATTAGCCTTCCGTTTTCTTATTTCATGTAGGATATTCCTCTGCTCACTGACTCTAATTAACACTTC